GCAATTGTGTGACAGCGCTGAAAGCTGAACATTGTACTGGGCAGGAAGGAGGTAAAAGTGCCTGGTAGACAAGTGGTTACAATGTGCCCATAGAGGTGGGTGAGGTATCTCCATAGCTGGCATTACATAAGGTCTGGACATGTCTGAACACTGTTCCACACACAGTGAGGGGAGGGCTCAGCCCCATTATCCTGCCCCCGGTACGGAAGTGGTTACAATGTGACCATAGAAGTGGGTGAGGTATCTCCATAGCTGGCATTACATAAAGGTCTGGTCATGTGTGAACACTTCCACACACAGTGAGGGGAGGTCTCAGCCCCATTATCCTGCCCCCGGTACGGAAGTGGTTACAATGTGACCATAGAAGTGGGTGAGGTATCTCCATAGCTGGCATTACATAAAGGTCTGGTCATGTGTGAACACTTCCACACACAGTGAGGGGAGGTCTCAGCCCCATTATCCTGCCCCCAGTAGGGAAATGGTTACAATGTGCCCATAGAGGTGGGTGAGGTATCTCCATAGCTGGCATTACATAAAGGTCTGATCATGTCTGAACACTTCCACACACACAGTGAGGGGAGGGCAAACAAACCCATCCGCTGCCTATTGCAGCTTAGGGGGAGGGACTCAACTGCGTTTTTTTTCCGCCCCCCAATCACAAGTCTAAATAAGACCTAAAACCTTCAACAAAGCTTGCTGAAAGCCCTGCAAATGCTTTGTCAAAGCTTGCTGTTCACACTGCTCTTATACAAGCTAAAGCTCATATGAAACAGGGTTAAAAGCATCAACAAAGCTTGCTGAAAGGTTAATGCTTACTGTTCACACTGTTCCTATCCAAACTGAAATCTGTGTAAAACAAACCTTACAATCTGAGTAGGACATGTTAAGTAATAAAAGTCCGTCTGGGATGCAGCCAGCAAATACACTATCCCCAGCGTTACTTACAATCAAAAGATCAAAATAAAATGCATGAAGATGGTCATACCATTGAAACGATTTGGGAAGTAAGAGAACGCAAGCATTGTTAGTCCAGTTGCCTGGGGTTACCACCAAAGCGATCTGGCCCTTGATGCAAATACCTTGGTGACACTTCATATTTTATGCTTATTCTTTCAAAACTACATGTGAGTCATTTTTTATAAAAGCATAGTGATCCTATAGGGTAGCACAGTGGCTAAATGGTTAGCACTTCTGCCTGGTAGTACTAGGGTCATTGGTTCAAATCCCAACCACAGTACCACCTGCCTGGAGTTTGCAAGTTCTCCCTGTGCCTGCATGGATTTCCATCCACACTCCAAAGACATGCTGCTAAGTTCATTGGCTCCTGTCTAAATTGGCCCTAGTATGTGTATGTATGAATGTGACTTAGGGTCCTTAGATTGTACACCCCTTGAGGGTTAGGGACTGATGTGAATGTACAATATATAAATGTAATAGTGCTGCATAAACTGATGGCACTATATAAGTACCAGCAATAAATTAATATTAAGAGACTTTTGTCCTTTTTATTATATCAACTTTTCAGCCATATTCCTGCAGATCCAGTGCCCCAGCACAGCAGTGGATGCTACCAGGAGAAACAAAGAAGACAAAGTGAAGCTACACTGTCTATGGTGGATAGAGGCACATCACAGACTCATCTGCATTCTGATATAAGGATTTCCCTGTTCTTCATATATGTATGTGTATATGTATATATATATCAGGGTGGATAAAAATCAATGTTTTTTTTTAAAAAATCTGATTTTTTTTATTTAAATTGGATTTTTTAATTTAAATCGGATTTTTTAAAATAAAATGCTTTTTGAGGAAAATATAATACCATCCAAAGGTTATTCCATCATGAAATAAAGATTAGTTTTTTAATTATGTAGAATAAGGCTGTATATGTTTAATTTTTTTGGTAAATAAATTCCATTAATCCATTCACAATGTCAGGCTCTTCCAGAGGTTTTTGTAAGATTATTGGGCAGTTTCTCTGCCTACAAGATATTATCACAGATGCTTGGTTTACTTTTGCAGTTCTCAAAACTGAATTTGACTCAGCGGAGATCACATGCCTCTTCTTCACAGCAAAAATGTTATAACATGAACAGAGTTAGAAAAAGACCTTAATCCTAACTTCTACAAACCTATGCATACAGAATCAACCCCTTCAGTGCTAAATTTCAAGAAGTTCAGTGAATAGAATAGAAACAATATTTTTCTGATTGTTTGGAGTGGAATAGATCTGCACAAGAAGAAAGTGAAACTAAGTGTGAGGAGGAAGGGGCTGACAGTCTACGTTTCTTAAAATATATATATTTTGTTCAGCCAAATTAGTTAACAAACATGGATGTTTTTAAGCAAATAACATATGCTGGAATGTTATTGTTTCAGCTGAATAAATCTATTTAAATTGTTATTATTAAGGTAATGACTATTTTTCTCCTTCCTAAGTACAACAGAAAAGTTGTCCAAATATGAAAGATTAACCTATTAAACTGGGGATAAAAAAACTAATATGAAAAGTTGTTATTCTAAAAATCTTCATCTACTTGCATATTAAAGTTATACCAGCAAGAATTAGTCTTTATGTAGAAAACTAGGATTTAAATCAAGCCTTACTGACTAGAGATTTAAATCGTGATTTAAATCAGTTTGATTTAAATCAAATCCACCCTGATATATATATATATATATATATATATATATATATATATATATATACACACGTGATTTTGTATTTCCGCCATTGGCAGCTTCAGCTGTTGATCTCCGGATCCCATGGACACAGCTGATCACATGACTAGGTAAAAGGCCAATCACAGCGGCCTTTTACCATTGTATTTACAGCTGTGTCCATGTAAATACAAATGCCGTTTATCGGCAGCACTTTCTTGACGCTGTCACAGCGTGAGGAAAGTACTGTTGATAACCGGGAAATGTCACAGAGGACATCTGCACTGATGATCAGGGCACTGATGATCAGTGCCGCCCAGCAATGTCGCTCTGCAGTACCACCCACTAGTGCCCAGCAGTGTTGCCCATTAGTGCCACCCATCAGTGCCCAGCAGTGCTGCCTGTCACTGGCCAGCAGTGCAGCATCATCAGTGCCTTCTCATCAATGCCCACCAGTGCCGCCTATCCATGCCACCTCATCAGTGCCACCTATCCATGCCACCTCATCAGTGCCCATCATTGCAGCATCATCAGTACCTTCTCATCAATTCCCACCAGTGCCGCCTCATCAGTGCAGCCTATCACTGCCCATCAGTGCCGCCTATCCGTGTCACCAGTCATCAGTGCCCATCATTGCAGCATCATCAGTGCAGCCTCCTCATCAATGCCCACCAGTGCCGCATCTCATCAGTGCACCTCATCAGTGCAGGCCTATCACTGCCCATCAGTGCCGCCTATCTGTGTCACCTCATCAGTGCCCATCATTGCAGCATCATCAGTGCCTCCTCATCAATGCCCACCAGTGCTGCCTCGACAGTGCCACCTCATCAGTGCAACCTATCAGTGCCGCCTATTTGTGCCACCTCATCAGTCCCATCTGTCAGTGTCCATGAGTGCAGAATCACCAGTGCCTCCTCATCAATGCCCACCAGTGCCACCTCATCAGTGCTGCCTATCCATGCCACCTCATCAGTGCAGTCTATCAGTGCCCATCAGTGCTGCCTATCCATGCCACCTCATCAGTGCCCATTAGTGCTGCCTATCGCTGCCCAGCAGTGCAGCCTCGTCAATGCACGTGAGTGAAGGAGAAAAAAATACCTGTTTGCTAAATTTTTTAATAGAAACAAAGAAACACTTTTTTTTTCAAATTTTTTGCTCTTTTTGTTTATAATGCAAAAAATAAAAACCCCAGTTTGCGAGTAAATACCACAAAAGAAAGAAAGCTCTATTTGTGTGGAAAAATTTGGTAACAATTTCATATGGGTACAATGTTGCATGACCGCGCAATTGTGTGACAGCGCTGAAAGCTGAACATTGTACTGGGCAGGAAGGAGGTAAAAGTGCCTGGTAGACAAGTGGTTACAATGTGCCCATAGAGGTGGGTGAGGTATCTCCATAGCTGGCATTACATAAGGTCTGGACATGTCTGAACACTGTTCCACACACAGTGAGGGGAGGGCTCAGCCCCATTATCCTGCCCCCGGTACGGAAGTGGTTACAATGTGACCATAGAAGTGGGTGAGGTATCTCCATAGCTGGCATTACATAAAAGTCTGGTCATGTGTGAACACTTCCACACACAGTGAGGGGAGGTCTCAGCCCCATTATCCTGCCCTCGGTAGGGAAGTGGTTACAATGTGACCATAGAAGTGGGTGAGGTATCTCCATAGCTGGCATTACATAAAGGTCTGGTCATGTGTGAACACTGTTCCACACACAGTGAGGGGAGGTCTCAGCCCCATTATCCTGCCCCCAGTAGGGAAGTGGTTACAATGTGCCCATAGAGGTGGGTGAGGTATCTCCATAGCTGGCATTACATAAAGGTCTGGACATGTCTGAACACTTCCACACACAGTGAGGGGAGGGCTCAGCCCCATTATCCTGCCCCCCGGTAGGGAAGTGGTTACAATGTGACCATAGAAGTGGGTGAGGTATCTTCATAGCTGGCATTACATAAAGGTCTGGTCATGTGTGAACACTTCCACACACAGTAAGGGGAGGTCTCAGCCCCATTATCCTGCCCCGGTACGGAAGTGGTTACAATGTGACCATAGAAGTGGGTGAGGTATCTCCATAGCTGGCATTACATAAAGGTCTGGTCATGTGTGAACACTTCCACACACAGTGAGGGGAGGGCTCAGCCCCATTATCCTGCCCCCAGTAGGGAAGTGGTTACAATGTGCCCATAGAGGTGGGTGAGGTATCTCCATAGTTGGCATTACATAAAGGTCTGATCATGTCTGAACACTTTCCACACACAGTGAGGGAGGGCTCAGCCCCATTATCCTGCCCTTAGACGTCTGACGCACGTGCTGGCTATCCGGAGTATAGAGGCTGGCATGGCAATGCCCGGGCATGAGGAAGGCTCCGTGAAGACGAGAGCGGACTGCGGTTGTGTGGGGAGGATGATCCGCCGGGCGCTGCCGCTCCACTTCTGGGCTGAAGTGAAGGAGCTGTGTGTTCTGGCCGGGCCTGTGGTGAGATTCTGTGATCTCTTCAGTAGAGGATGCTGTGTGCTGTACAGAGAGATCAATGCATATCCTATTGAAGGGGGGTTCTCATTTGTTTGCACAGATTTGTATCAGCCATAGTGCCCATTGTACATTCGGGTTTTGTAGACTCGTCTTTCTCCGTAGAAACGTCTCTCTGTCAGCTGGGAAAATGTACTGAAAGGCAGTAAGTAGATAATCCATGCTTAGCTGGCTGTAGTCGGGCATCCGCAGCACCCCAGCAGTGGTGGTGAAACTACAAATCCCATCAGGCATTGTAAAGACAGACAGCCACAGGCATGAATCCCAGAGGGAAATGCATGATGGGATTTGTAGTTTTACCACAGCTGGCATGCTGAGGTTTCCTACCCCTGTAAAAAGAATAGTTCCAGGTTGGGATATTTCTTACATAGTTACATTGGTACAGCTTGGACCAATGTAAACATATATATACCATACCTAGATGACGTAGAGCAGTGACGCCATGCTCTCCACCTTGTCTAGTCAGGTCTGGTTCACACCTATGCTTTTTTTTTTCAGAAAGCTCTGCAGTCCATTTAGCATTGCTTTCTATAGGACACATTCACATCTGAGCTTTTTTCAGCCACCGCGTTTTTGTAAAGGGTCAGGGACCTTTTCAAATGCAAAACAGTGTGTTTTTGGCTCAATAGACTGCAATGGAAATGCTGCAGAAAAGCACTCAATGCGTTATTGACACGTTTTGTGTTTTTTAATCTGCCCAAAAACAAATTGTCACAAAAAAAAGAAAGCGTAAAAAAAGGGTGTGCACTGCAGAAATGGATCCAAAGCAAGGGTTAACTGTGTGCTGTTTTACTATGGGGGCTGTGTGTGTGTGTTTCATTGTAAGCTCACTGCTTTGTATGGCTCTGCTATGCAGAGCCATACAAAGCAGTGTGTAGGAGCTGACAGGGGAGAGATTTGTATTGTTTATATACAGGTGTCTCCCACATTGGAAACCCTCGGAGATCGCCAGGTGCTGGCGGGGAATCACCTGCCGGGACCCAGTGATTGACAGCCAAGGCCGCAAGTGGTGGCACGGGTAGGGCGCGTGCGCCCCCTATCTGGAACTGCAATATCACATGTATATATACGTGATTTTGTGCACCCATGCCACCCCGCAGCAGAATTTCTGCTATAGGGCAGCGCGGAAGCACGGTTTAAACCTTAAAGCGGAGCTCCAGCCAAAAGGAGAAGTTCCGCTGTAAGGACTGGACTCACACTCCCTGTTAAGGATTGGCACCTTTGGGGAGCGGGTACCCAAAATTGACAGGTACCTGCTTTCACTTGCACTGCAGTAGCCTAGGAGATCAGGAGCGGAAGTTTTCCTCCTCCCCTCCTTCCCCATAGTGTTCTGAGACACGTGACAGGTCCCAGAGGACTACAGAAAGTGCAGCCTACTCGCGCATGCGCATTAAGCACCTGGCTGTGAAGCTGCAAGCTGTCACAGCCGGGTGCCCACACTGAAGATGCCGGCTCCATGAACACAGGGCGGCCAGTGAAACAGGCTGCGGGGGGGGGGGGGGGGGGTACTGTAGGATTTACGTTTTTTAAAAGTCAGCAGTTACAGTTTTTGTAGCTGCTGACTTTTATTTTTTTTATTTTCACTGGAACTCCGCTTTAATAAAATAGATTTAAAAGAAAAAGAAACAGTGTAATGCGCAGAGCTCAGCACATCATCACTGCACTGATCTTGGCCTCACAGCACAGCAGCAGCCAATCTCCTGTGTTCACAATGCATCAGGCCAGTCACTTAGCATTGGACCCGAAAGCAAGTGGAGATCACTGTAGTAACGGTTTCTATTTCAGTGATTTCTAATGACTAGAAAATAGAATGAATGTTCTTAAAATGAAAATTTATGGAATGAAAATCTACTGGTGTACACCCAGCTTGAGACTGCATCCAGCACAGGCTAATCCTGGAGGGATGATGCTTGACAGCAGTAGGTAAGAGGATGGATAGCACTACATTACCCCATTAGTATGTTAAGGACATAAAGGGAAAATAGAGGCTACATACACTTATAGTCAGAAAAGGAGCATTTTTAGGAATGCCAAACTACACATTTTTATCAGCAATTTTTAAATGTATTATTTATTACAGGTACTTATATAGCACTGTCAGCTTTACATATATATTGTACATTCACATCAGTCCCTGCCCTCAAGGAGCTTAAATTCTAAGGTCCCTAACATTCACATTCATACATATACTAGGGTCAGTTTAGAGAGGAGTCAATAAACCTACTAGCATGTCTTTGGAGTATAGGAAGAAATTGGAGTACCCAGAGGAAACCCACACAGGCACAGGGAGAACATGCAAACTCTAGGCAGGTAGTGCTGTGGTTGGGATTCGAACCAACGACCCTAGTGCTGCTAGTATTTTGAGTGTACAAGTGCATTTCTGAGTGTCTATGCATTTGTAGGTTGTGCTACACAATACTCATGCATTAGTTTTTAGATTAGTTTTTAGTTTTTTGGATGTACACATTTTCAAACATAATTTGTCTAAGTGTGTTATAATTACATTACAAAAAGTTGCTGACTGCAGCCTCTCCCATTTATTTTTCCAAGTGTATGCTTATCATATAAAGGTTTTATCATTTTTTATGTCTAAGTTTAGAGACTAAAGTTCACAGAGTAGTTCAGTGGTTTTTTCAAGGGAGGAGTATGACAGATGACAGATGTCATTCAAGGCACATTCCTTCTGTTGCATGCAGGGGCGGACTGACCATTTGGAAACTCGGGCACTGCCCGAGGGCCCGGGGTCAGAAGGGCCCCATGAGATGCCCCTGGTATCTTTTTCATAGGCTTTTTTGAGTTTGGGCAAGGACACAGGGGCCCCATGATCCCCTATTGCCTGGGGGCCCCATGAGTTGTCAGTCCGCCCCTGGTTGCATGATAACAATTTGATTAATTTACAGTGCCAGAGTATTTTATATTCTCTCTAGCCATGTAATCAGTCATACTGGAAATGTTAAAGTTATTTTTTTAACCTGCATTGTGCTTTATACAGTGTTCAATAAATTAACATAAACATGCATTGCTTATTAAGGTTCCTTTTTACACAGTGTGGCTCAACCCCATCCACATGCTCCCTCATTACTGGATTCAATTGACAGCAGTAGGAGCCAATGGCTCACTCTGCTATCACTGAGTCCAGTTAGAAGGGAGGGAGAGAACAGAGCCACTGCTCTTGGGCACAGCACTGGATTGAGATTGGGCTCAGGTAAGCATTTTAAGCGAATGTCAAGAGCTGGAAAATTTATTTTGGGTTGCTCTTTGATGTTAGTTTATGGTAGTAACAAGAAACACACAGCTAAATTAAAAAAAAAATATATATTTTTTTTTTACTATTTTGGGCCAATTTTCCTTTAATAATAAAAAAAATCAGGAGATATCCATTAGCATTTACCACCAAATGAAAGCCCAATTTGTTCTGAAAAAAAAAACGCGGTATAATTCACCTGCATATACAAAGTAGTTGTGATGATATGTACGGTTTTACTAACACATGTCAACGTTGCAAAATTGTGCTTAGGCATTTAAATTTGTTTTACCTTTAGGCGTGAAGGGGTTAACATTCAGGCATGCCTTTAGAGCTAGCTGTAAAGCAGTAAAAATCCCCAAATCAAACTTTCTTGATGACTTCTCCGCCTGGCTACCCTACTTTCTATCCTCTGAAATACCCACTATCATTCTTGGAGACTTTAACATCCCCATTAATATGAACAACCCGGCTACATCCCAACTCTTCAACTTAACCTCATCTTTTGCATTAGCACAATGGACACAGTCCTCCACTCACACTGATGGGAATACATTAGACCTTGTTTTCTCCCATTGTTGTACTCCCTACAACCTCACAAACACCCCCCTTCCTCTCTCTGATCACAATCTCATCACCTTCTCAGTGTCCTCGTCTTCAAACGCCTATCCCACCAAACAGCAAACAATTACCTGCAGAAACCTTCACAACTTGAACCCTTCTCTTTTCCACTCTGCAAATGACCGCCTCTATGACAGAATCTCTCCCCTGTCCTGCCTCGACCTGACCACTGCTGTCTACAACAGTTCACTTTCATCCACTAGACTCACTTGCTCCTCTAACAACATGAAGCATCAGTCTCCACCCATTAAAACCTTGGCAGACTGATGACACCAGAAATCTAAAACGACAGTCATGCGCTGGAGCGATTGTGGCGTAAAACCAATCTCAGCAAGCATTCATCCTACTGTATATAAATCTGCTTTCTTAACATTCAATTCCTCCCTCCATGCTGCCAAACAAGCCTACTGTGTCACTCTTTGTCCTCATGCACACGGGACGTTTTGATAACGTTGGTAACATTAGCTGTGTAAAGTCACATTAAAAACATGAGTTTTCAGCTTTTTTTAGCGTTTTTTGCATTTTTGTTTTTTTTTTACCAAAAAAAAAAATATTATTTTTGGTCAAAAAAAGTAAAAAAATGACAGTTTACCGCATTTTACTGTGTTTTGCCATGTTTTTCAGCATTAGAGTGTTTTTACAGCTAAAAAACTCCTCTAGAAACCCACTAGTCTGGGGTTTTTTTTTCCAGTCAAAAAATGCTGTTTACAGTTTATGTGTGCATGGACACATAGGACAACATGCTGGGGGGGTTACTGGCTGTAGAAAAAAACCTCATAAGCCAAAAACAGCCGCTGTAAAAATGTCAAGTGTGCATGAGGACTTGTCATCCAGTCCTTGTCGTCTCTTCTCTACTTTTAACTCTCTACTTTCTCCACCTTCACCTCCACCCAGTACTTCACTCAGGTGTACATTTATTAAGCAGAGATAATGTATCTCATTTCAGTTCTCTGCAATTCTCAGGGAAAAATCTTCTCCTCTGTCCCCGTTTATGAAGCGGAGAACATTTGTTCTCAGAAGAAGAGAGGAGAATTTTTTCCTCTGAGATCTGTGTACAAGGGGGAGGGCTGCATGTGATCTCCTGAGATAATTGTGTGATTACAGATCACCTGAGTTTAAACAGTGAAACCAAAGTTGAAAAGAAAATGCAATTACATGAATATAATGAGGACTGATCACTGGTACTTTTTAATGCACATTTTGGCACATTCTTTAACTGTGTATTTTATTGCGCATTTTTGCATAATTTTATGTGCATTTTGCTGTTTTTTTTTAACATGCTGTATTTTTTTAACACGCATTTTGACATGGATTTTTTAATTTGCATTTTGGCGCTTTTCTAAACACACTTTTAGGTGCTTTAATGCACATTTTGTACAGGTTATTTTAACATGCATTTTGCTGTGGTGTGCAATGCATATTTTGGCAATTTTCTTAGCATATATTTTGGAACTTTTCTAAAGTGCATTTTGATTTGGTTTTTATGTATATTTCGGCAGACTGTGCATCTGCTAGCCACTTTTGGTTCCATTACCAAATAATGGCACCAAAAACACGACATGCATTTTGCATGCGTTTGCAGAACACACACAAAAAAGCAGGTAAATAATAAGCCAAAATACATGTTAAAAGCACCAAAATGCACATAAAAATTTAAACTCACATTTTTTTTAGAGGGGTGCCTTCCCCTCTCCTCTAAAGCATGCACACATCACTCCCATACTTAAAAAGCCCTCGCTGGACTCCACCAACCTGAGCAACTTAAGACCCATCTCCCTGCTCCCGTTTACCTCTAAACTCTTAGAACGCTTAGTCTACAATCGCCTGAGTTCCTACCTCACTGACAACAACCTTCCTGACTCTTTACAGTCTGGCTTTCACTCACTACACTCCACTGAAACTGCCCTACTAAAACTCACTAATGATCTACTAACTGCTAAAACCAATGGCCACTACTCCGTACTCTTACTACTTGACCTCTCTGTGGCTTTTGATACTGTTGATCATCCCCTCCTCCTCAAAAAACTCCACTCTCTTGGTAGGTTCTTCTCCTACCTATTACAGCGCTCCTGCAGCTTTACCTATAACTGTGTCTCCTCCTCTCCACTTCCTCTTTCTGTAGGGGTGCCTCAAAGATCTGTCCTTGGACCCCTTCTCTTTTCCATCTACACCTCTTCCCTTGGTCACTTGATAAACTTCCATGACTTTAAGTACCATCTCTATGCTGATGACACACAAATCTATCTTTCTACTCCTCACCCCTTCAGTCTCCCCTCGCATTACTAACCTACTAAGCTACATATCGGTATGGATGTCACTCCACTTCCTCAAACTCAATCTTTATAAAACTGAGCTCATACTATTCCCTCCAGCCCGTGCCCCCTCCCCTGACTTCTCCATCAAGATCAATAATATAACCATCAGTCCCTCCCCTCACGCCAGGGTACTAGGTGTAATCCTAGACTCCCATCTGCCCTTTCAGCCCCAAATCCAATCACTGTCCAAAACTTGTAGACTTCACCTCCACAACATCTCCAAGATACTCCTGTTCTTAACCTCTGAAACTACTAAGTAACTTATTCACTCTCTTGTTATCTCTCGCCTTGACTATTGTAACTCCCTCCTCATTGGCCTACCAAATCGCAGGCTATCCCCTCTTCAGTCTATCATTAATCCTCTTCAGTCTATCATTAATGCTGCTGCCAGACTCATCCACTGTTCCATATCTGCCATCCCTCTCTGCCAATCCCTCCACTGGCTTCCCATTGCCCAACGACTAAAATTCAAAACATTAACAATAACATATAAAGCCATTTATAACTCTGCCCCAAATTACATCACCAATCTTGTCTCCAAATATCACCCAAACTATCCTCTGCTGCATCCACGACCTGTTCTCTAGCTCCCTTGTCTCCTCCTCCCATGCTCGTCTCCAGGACTTCTCCAGAGCTTCCCCCATCCTCTTGAACTCTCTACCCCAATCTATCAGACTATTGCCTACTCTGCCCACTTTTAGGTGATCTCTGAAAACCTATCTCTTCAGGGAAGCCTATCCTGCCTTCAGCAAATAACGTAATCTTCTATTCCTTCTACCAGTCCATCCCCCACAGTTATTACCTTTTGTACCACCAACCCCTCCCTCTTAGATTGTAAGCTTCAAGGAGCAGGGCCCTCCTAACCCTCTTGTATTGAACTGTATTGTTGCTGTATTGTCTCCCTTTATATTTTAAAGTGCTGAGCAAACTGTTGGTGCTATATAAATCCTGTATAATAATAAATAATAATTAACACAAAAGGCTGCATCATTATAATGAATGTTTGTTTTTAGTTCCTTTCTCAGATTATGGTATATTCCATTAGCATTGTGAGCTCAATATTCTGTGGCCATTTGGGAAAGATTGAACTTGACTCAGTAACACTTGCTGTAGCCGTAAGTATTAACTGTAAACCTAAGACAAGTTTCAGTTTTAAACTAATATTTTACTATTTTAGTTTTGTGTTACTACTGGCAAGATTTATCACAGGTTGGAACCCTGTTTCTTGGGTATTCCCGCAGTGCCATATAATGTACCTAGCAGAATTCCCACTTTCATCCAGCTGCCAAAAACAGGAGTTTATCTTCAAAAGTGAACTCCAGCCATGGCTTTGGGAGGAAGTGCAGAGATATAAATTACTGCAATGAGTTCTCACCATCTGGAGAGATGACAGACCACTGGATGTACCAGGCATTCAATGGATACCCTAAAGTGTATGAATGGCCCAAACCTTTTCTACGTTTTGAATCGAAGAGTTTTAACCCAAGTTTGTTAACCATAATTGTTGCGGGGGAGGTTTCCCTTCAGGTCCAGAAGAGACAGGACCTGAGCTAGGCCTGAGCACTCCATTGCATGCATCCTCCCATCCTCCATATACTGAAGCACAGGGTATTTTGCTGTGGTAAGCACAGAAGATGGGGTAGCAGGAGAGAGCTGTAAAGGTGACTTAAGATGGGCATAGATGGTTCAGTAGGGACTGGCTGAATTTCGATCTATGTGTGGCCCTTCCTGTTCAAAAGGGAGAAAATGTTGGTCGATCAGTGGCTGCAGCCACTGATCAGTGTATATTGAAAGAAGAGAGTCTTGCCATCAGAAAACAATGCTCCAGTGGGAGGATTCCTCCATCCACCTCGACTGAAAAAAAAAAAAAAAATTATGTATGCTCAGCTTAAAGTGGTATTAAAGGCTTAATTAAAAAAATAATAACAAACATATACTAACCTGCTCTCTGCAGGGTTTTGCACAGAGCAACCCTGATCCTCCTGTCCTTGGGTCCCCCACCGGTGCTCTGGGATCCTCCCCCTCTGCCGAGTGCACCCATAGCAAACCACTTGCTATGGGGCGCTTGTATGTGCTCGCTCCCACGATCCGTTCTGTGTGTCCATAAGACACACAGAATGTGGCTTGGTCCTGCCCCTGCTTCCTCCCCACTGGCTGTCTCTGAGCCAATGAGGAGGTAGAGAGCCAGGACAGCAGCCGCTGTCGTGCACATTACTGGATCAAGCTCAAGTGAGTATTTGGGGCTGAGAGGGGAGCTGCATACTGAAGGCTTTTTTACCTTTAGGCATAGAATGCATGATCGTAAAAGACCTTCAGGCTTCACAACCACTTTAAACTGGTTAGGGTATAGGCTTTTCACCAGAATTTGTCACTTTCCCCTGAATAGAGAAGGGGACCGGGGTTTTTAAAATGTTTGAGAATTTGTGAAGCAAAACAGGCTTACCAAATAAAGCAAAGAGCCATGTTTGTTGATACATAGCAATCAAGAGAGCAGTAATCTCTCATTGTCTTGTCCCCTTTTAATTATTGAAAAATGAAATCTGTTTAGTTAGAGTGTTACTGTTTCACTTACTGAGAAAATAAGGAAATGATATATTTCTACAACCCATGTAATATACAAGAGAGCTTATCTTAATAGTACAGTACAGGACACAGGCTGAATAATCCTAAAACCTGGGTATGGGCTGGTACCTTCAGGTGATTGGATAGCCCAGGGTCTGTAAATATTCAGCCTGTGTCCTGTGCTGTAGTCCAAGATATTGAATTTATAGTTAAATCAACATTTTTTTTCTCTTCTCTTTGTTCAAAGGTCTTTAGCCCACAGCCCATCCTTCACTTGATTGTGCAGGAAAACAGTATTGATTGAACAACTATATTGTATGACACTTTTTGCCTATATGGCACCTGCAATAGAGCATGTAGCATCTGAGCTACACCCTTCTCTTTTAAGCAAGTATTACATTACAATTACCAGTGACTGTCCTCCATGACAGCATATAAGGACTGTATGGTGGGATTTAGATAAAGTCACTCCTGTCACAATGGGTGTATGGTGTATTGAGCTGGAATGTATTGTGACCACTAGGATATTTCCTCCAGTGTATTCCCAATGAATTTGTTATTTACAACGTTCCAGAGAGCATTGTGATTGCACTGTTGTCTACTTGGCAGCTTTTTTTAAAAAAGTGGTTTGTAAATATTTTTTAGTTATCAGTGTTGAGGTCACAAAAATAGATAACAAAAAAAACAAAAATAGTTAACAGTTTATTTCTCAACAGGTTATCCATGTTACAGGGATATCTGTTGGCTCAGGTTTAGCCTCTGGTTGTGATACACTCATGTCTCAGGTATGCTGAGTAATGCGAATAAAAATGTTGCTCAATATTATTCTTTTAATTGTATAAAGTGAGATGTGTTTACAGAATAAATTGCACAAGATCATTTCATTCATTTAGACTCCTTAAGGCCCCAAGCACACTGGGAGTTTTAAATACCGCTTTCAGAAGCGTCTTTTTTTTTTGTGCCTCTAAATGCCACTCAATGTTAGCCTATGTTTCCATGCACACATAGACATTTATTGGCAGAAAAAACCCCACTGCCTGTGCGTTCAGGAGCAGCAGTAGAAAAAACACCTGACGAGCCTAAATGCGTGTAAACGCACTTAAGCATTGTGCGCATCAAGTGCTGAGGTGTTCATTCATTTCAATGTCCAAAATAAATTAATAATCTGGCCAGTGAAATTAATATAGACCTACGCTCTTGACGCTTTTAAAGTGATACTAAACCCAGGACCCTGCATTCACTATATCTGTTCTCCCACAGTGCACACAACATGGAAATGCAATTATTTTAGTAAATATAAACTGCTAAACACCTTTTCTCATCAGCAGTTAGAGTAGTCTTATGACTTCAGCAGTTTTCTTTCTGCTCTCGGAGGATGTGAAACACCTGACCTCTGTCTGGACAGTCCTGATTGACCCTGTGCTGATTACATGCACTCATCAATGAAAAAATAAATCCTCTCTAGCAATACACACCAAACGGAGCATGTGCATGTGACTATGGATTCAGTCTGTATCAGGTGGTGTTTTCAACAAGAGGAGGGGCAGAGAAGAAAGGATCAAACAGCCTTTTTACACAATGCAGAAGATTAACCCCTTAGGTGCCACAGCGAGTATAACAAGCATGCTTTACTGTATATATAGACTGATTTTACTGTTGTGGGTTTAGTAACACTTTAAACATGTTTAAAAGCATTTGCGAAAATGCTACTTTAGGCATGTTTTTGACACTGCTTTTCTCTTGCCATGAGAAAGCCGTTTAGAAGAGCTGGGCAAATGCCCAGTGTACATGAGGCCTAAATTGGAATTCCAGGCAAATGTAAAAAATTCAACCTTTTGTCCAGTAATTTGTTAAAGACTCTGTATCCTGCTCAGAGGAATTTATGAGTGGATGTGCTAGCACTGTGAGTCAACAAGAAATTTTGCATTGTACAATGTTGCTGTGCAAATATGTTCCAGATACTGGGGACAGAATGAAATGATGTTTACAAAGGCTTACAGGAAAAAATAATGAAGAGAGAACCTCACTAGTTTTGGATGCTTATTTAACATTCAGTGTGCAGGGTGGAGGTGGATAGGGTACACAGGAAGTTGCAAAGGTTTTGTTATTTTCCCTTTTGCATCACCTTCTTCTGCCTTCCTTATCATGTCTTTAATGCACAAGAACTGAAGCACAAGTGGATATTTATTTACCTTTGGCTGTTCATGTGTAGTCACATTGGAAAAGGAGCTTGTCATTTAACAAATAGTAAATGTCAGGATTGTCTAACGATGATTTATTTTACATGTACATATTTCAACCTAAAGATGATTGGGTATACTGCAAGATTTTCAAAATCAAATTTGAGATTTAGCTTTAATATTTTTTTTTGACATTACGCTGTTAAAAGGGACCTTTGGCTCTGCTTTGTTTATAGTGCTTGTAAACTACAAATAGATGTATGCACAGCAGCAGGTCAATAACCCTGTTCCCTCCCTTTAAATAGTCAGTCTGGTTATCCATTAGTACTTTTGAATTCCCTAACCTATTATATAGGTTAATTCAATATTTTCTTTGAGTGACATGTCATTATGTGGAGATTTCCCCTTACTGCATGTTTTTTGTTAAAGACTGAAAGTAAGGTGAAATCTCTTCTATAGGGACCCTGTACTAAAACGAGTGCACAGAGAATCTGGTGTAGCTGGCCATAGAAACCAAACAGCTTTTTGGTTTCATTGTCAAAGCTTAACTGAACAAGCTGACTTTAGAAGCTGATTGGTTACTATGCACAGCTGCACCAGATTCTGTGTGCACCAATTTTAATAAATCAACCCCAAAGTGATATAACATGATAGTGATTATAACTTTTCTTCACTTTATTAAAAAAATTATTAAAAGAGTATACGTGCATTATAATAAGTTGTTTTTTTTAAAAAAAGTAATAAATTAATCATATGATGTCGTTCGTGAACACATCTACACACGCTTATCAAACAATACAATACCCCCAGGGAATAATACAATATTTCTTAGAGAATAAGTGTTTTGTCTGTGCTGTTTCCTGTTCTGTCAGATGATAAGATCACTTGATTTTATTATAGCACTTATAACTTTTTTTGGGGTTGTGAATCACTTCTTCTCATATTCTTTTAGACCTATGGGGGGAGAAATCTGAGGCGCGTGGGGACAGTTCTGCAGAGAGGAATTCTCATTCTGATGCTGTGTTGCTTACCATGCTGGGCAATATTCATTAATACAGAGCAAGTACTGCTGCTATGCAGACAAAATCCAGATGTTGCCAGGTGAGTGGAGCTTTGTAATATGACATAGCATAATATCATATAAAAGATAACAAAATAAATATCATATAAAACATACAGGTGGCACAGTGGCTTAGTGGTTAGCACGTCTGCCTTTCAGTAAATGGGTCATGGGTTCGATTCCTGACCATGGTGCCTCTTGCATGGAGTTTGCATGTTCTCCCTGTGCCTGCGTGGGTTTCCTCTGGGTGCTCCAGTTTCCTCCCACACCCCAAAGACATGCTGGTAGGTTAATTGGATCCTCTCTAAATTGGCCCTAATATGTGTATGTATGAATGTAAGTTAGGGACCTTAGATTGTACACCCCTTAAGGGTTAGGGACTGATGTGAATGTTCAATATATATATATGTGTAAAGCACTGTGTAAGTTGACAGTGCTATATAAGTACCTGAAATAAATAAATACTGTAACAAAATAAAAGAGAAAGGGTTTTTTCATCAGGCATGATACAAAACTGAATATGAGAGCCACGTATTTATATGCAAAGCCACATACAAGATACAATTGCTATTTGGGAGTTTTTACAGAGTTTGGACATAAGAAATATCCTCTACATGTAATGGACTGTTTGACAACCAGATACCAGCTAGTCCATGAAGAGTCAGTTTATTAGACAAGTTATAAAATCTTTTCATTTACTGTACAGTTATAGCCAAAAATGTTGGCACCCTTGAATTTCTGTCAGATAGTGCACCACTTCGATCCAGAAAATTCTCTACTGGAATTTTGGCTCACTCTTATTTTGCCAACTGCTCCAGGTCTCTCAGATTGGAAAGGTTCCTTTTCCCAACTGCTGTTTTGAGATCTTTCCACATGTGCTCTATGGGATTGAGATCTGGACTCATTGCTGGCCAGTTCAGTATTCTCCGGTGCTTTGTCTTAAACCATTTCTGGGTGCTTTTTGATGTGTGCTTTGGGTCATTGTCCTGCTGTAACACCCATGACCTCTGATGAAAACCCAACTGACACAGGGCCCTACATTGCACCCCAGAATTCTTTGGAAATCTTCAGATTTCATAATGCAATGCACACGGTTAAGACATCCAGTGCCTGAAGCAGCAAATCAACTCCAAAACATCAGTGAACCTACACCATGTTTGACTGTAGGGACTGTATTTCTTTTCTTTAAAGGCCTTGTTACTTTTTCTGAAAACAGTAGAATGATGGGCTTTAACAAAAAGCTGTAATTTTGTTTAATCTGTCCACAGTACTTTCTCCCAAAAGGAGTTTGGCTTCCTCAGGTAAGTTTTGGCAAACTCCAATCTGGCTTTTTTATGTTTCTATGTCAGCAGTGGGGACCTCCTAGGTCTCCTACCATAGCGTCCTTTTTCATTCAGATGGCGACATATAGTGTGAGCTGACACAGTTGTACCCTGTGCCTGAAGGTCAGCTTGAATTTGTCTGGAAGTTGATCAAGGTTATTTAGTCACCATTCGAACAATCCTACGGTCAATTTCTCTCTTTCATCCAAGTCCAGGGAGATTAGCTACAGTGCCATGGGCTGTAAACTTGACAGTGTTGGGCACAGTGGTCACAGGAACATTAAGATATCTTGCGATGGACTTTTTGTTCTTAAGTCCTCAGAAAATTCTTTGCTGCTCTTTCTCTTCTCCATGCTCCATGTGGTACAGAGAGACACACAACAGAAAGGTTGTGTTGATTTTTTTTTAACTGGTTGCTGATGTGATTTCTATATTGTCAGCATCTGTTAATTGATACAGGTGAGTTTATGTACAAAGTGTAGGAACATCACAAAGTTGGAATGCAATTATTTCTTTCAATTTTGATAAGGTGTCAGGCGATAAGGCGATAGTGGCGACAGTGGGCAGCCCTGCCTCGTATCCCTGGATATTGAAATAGGCGAGGAGAAAAACCCACCGGATGTAACAGAATCTGTTGGAGATGAGTATAGGACTTTAACTAGCTGCCGACCGCAGATAGCCGAATGACGGCTACACTGCGGCCGGCCAGTTCTGGGTGGACGTCATATGACGTCCTCCCAGAACGCGCTCTCCTGCGCGCCCCAGGGGGCGCACCGGCGATCTCCGTGATCGCTGTGTCCTAAGGACACAGCTGATCACGTGATGTGGTAAAAGGCCAATCACAGCGGCCTTTTACCAACGTGATCAGCGGTGTCCAATGACACGCTGATCAGAGGGAAATGCAAGTGCCGGTTCTCGGCTGCACTTTCCTCACGCTGTCAGATCGTGAGGAAAGTACTGCCGAGAACCGGCAGTTGTCAGAGCGGGGATCGGCACCGATCATCAGGGCACTGATGATCAGTGCCCTGATGATTGGTGCCCAGCAGTGCCACCCGCAAGTTCCGCCCACCTGTGCCCAGCAGTGCGCCCACTAGCTCCGCCCACCTGTGCCCAGCAGATCACCCACCTGTGTCCAGCAGTGCACCCACCTGTGCCCAGCAGTGCACCCACCTGTGCCACTCTGCAGTGCCACCTACCTGTGCCCAGAAGTGCCACCTACCTGTGCCCAGCAGTGCCACCCACCTGTGCCCACCCACCTGTGCCCACCAGTGCCACCCACCTGTGCCCACCCACCAGTGCTGCCCACCAGTGCAGCCCAGCAGTGCTGCCAGTCAGTGTCGCCAGTCAGTGCCCAGGGGTTGTGCCAGTCAGTGCTGCCAGTCAGTGCCCAGCAGTGATGCCAGTCAGTGCCGTCTATCAGTACCCATCATCAGTGTCACCTATCAGTGCCGCCTATCAGTGCTGCATATTAGTGCCACCTATCCGTGACACCTCATTAGTGCTGTCTATCAGTGCCGCCTATCCGTGCCACCTCATTAGTACTGCCTATCAGTGCCCTTTAGTGCTGCCTATCAGTGCCCATCAGTGCTGCCTATCAGTGCCCATCAGTGCCGCCTATCAGTGCCCATCAGTGCTGCCTCATCAACGCACATCAGTGAAGGAGAAAAAATACCTGTTTGAAAAATTTTATAATAGAAACAAAGAAACTTTTTTTTTTTTTTTTTTTGTCAAATTTTTTGCACTTTTTTTATTTATAGCGCAAAAAGTAAAGGGCCCAGTGGCGATTAAATACCACCAAAAGAAAGCTCTATTTTTGTGAGAAAAAAATGATCAAAATTTCATATGGGTACAATCAAAGTGCGGCAGCGCTGAAAGCTGAAAATTGGCCTGGTAAATAAGGGGGTATAAGCCTGGTAGGCAAGTGGTTAATCCGGGCCAGGAAGTCGCCGCCAAACCCCCATGGCGTTAAAGCAAATTCCAGGTAATCCCAGTAAAGCGAATCGAACATGTCAGATTTGTCTTTTTGTTTCTCCATTTTTTTGTGTCATATCAATGCAAACAAAAGAAATAAACACGAGAATGCCTAAATATTTGTAATTGCAACAATTTTCTGGGTGATGTGGTGCATTATCTGACAGAAATGCAGGGTGTCAATATTTTTGGCCATGACTGTAGTTCCCCCTCATAAGCTGTTGCTGGTCTTGGCACGTGTCCTTCTATCTACATATTATTTATTAATTGCAGGTACTTATGTAGCGCTGTCAATTTATACAGCGCTTTACATATATATTGAACATTCACATCAGTCTCTGCCCACAAGGAGCTTAGAATGTAAGGTCCCTAACTCACATTCATACATACACATAAAAGGGCCAATTTAGACAAGAGTCAATTAACCTACCAGCATGTCTTTGAAGCATGATAAACTAGGCATTTGTCTGTATAGAAACATCAGCCAAAAATATGTTATGGCAATGGGATTGAGTCTTATTGTTCTTCCTATGTGTATAGCTGACCTTTTATGTAAAAAGGTAATTGTAAAATTCATATTACATTTCTATACAGTGTGAATGACCTGGCCTGAAAAAGAAATCGAAGTGGCAATTTACTTTCCTTTCTCTCTTCAGGGCTCAGTCCAGAATTTCTGTGTGTTTACATTTCTACCTCTCTTTAACTCAAATTTCCTCAGTAGTGTAATTCTAAGGTTATATATATGCCCTGTGCTGCAGACATGCTGCCAGAGAAACATCAGCTTTATAGTTGACCGTGATTCTTTGCGGATTCATTCATTCAGGGCAGCACAGTGGCTAAGTGGTTAGCACTTCCTCCTTGCAGCCTTAGGGTCATTTGTTTCAATCCCAACCACAGCACTATGTGCCTGGATTTTGCATGTTCTACCTATGCCTGTGTGGGTTTTCCTTTGGGTAGACCGGTTTCCTTCCACACTCAAAAGACTGCTGGTAGGTTAACTGGGTCCTGTCTTAATTGGCCCTAGTATGTGTATGTATGAATGTGAACTAGGAACCTTAGATTGTATGCTCCTTGAGGGTTAGGGACTGATGTGAATGTACAATACAGTATATATAGAGCACTGCATAAATTGACGTCGCTATAGAAGTACCTTTAATAAAATAAACTCAGGGGCTGTCCTTTTCTCCTAAACATATAGGTACTAATATGAAGATTTGTATTTGTAGACAAGTGTTTGTAAGTTAAAAGATTGGTCCCAGGTATGCTAAGTTCTTTCTGAAAATGAGCATTCATTGTTAATAAGTTAGTTTAATAAAATGTATTTGATGGTGCTTCAAATGATTGTTTATTTCTATGATGTTAGAACAGATATGATTAGTTCTTAAATATTGTCGTTAGAAAGTCTCAGTCAATGAAAATGATCACTCCCAAAGTCAAAAGTGCTTGTAAACCTAATATTCTAAAATTATTTGATGAAATTAAAACAGTCATGTGGATAATGGCTACATTGCACCATCACAATTGAGCCACAATGGTAAACCTAAAAATTCCTGAAAGGTTTTGCATCAAACACAAATAATCTGCTAGAGCCCTTGTGTGGCACATAAGTCATTGGTTGATTCTATCAGAGCCTAAGCACACAGGTTCATGGTAGAGTTCCTTTTGAAGAACACTTAGAGGTTTTTCGTGTAAAAACAGCTGTTAAAGTGATTGTAAACCTTCACCTTGTAAAACAACCCATTCTGTTTAAAATAGAAATTGAAGGCAAGACAATTGTGTATAGATATAAATACTGTTTTCCCTTTTTTATAAGTGATCACATTCCTTCTGTTCTCAGCTACTTAAGAGCTAGGGGAGGTGAAACAGCAGCACACTGATCTTTTCAGTGAAAGGCTGTGCAGGGGAAAAGAAGGTTTGTCAGCACAAGTCTGATCATTGGAGAAGAGCACACTGAGTTCCCACAGAACTTAGAGAACTTACTTCGCTGTGCTCTCCAGCCTAGTGTAGTCAGTTTTTAATAGGAAAGCAGAGGAACTGGCAGGAACACCAGAGATTTCTAACAAAGGAAGCAATACGAAGAGAACAGGATATTTTTTCATACAAATACATGGTACAGCAGGCGTATATCAGGAATATGAAATGTTTGGTTTACATATTATTTAATTCTAATAGCTGCATTTTGACACAGAACAGGATGTTAGCGCCAATATTTATCTTTAGCAATAGACCCTATAATATTTCCTAAATATCTAGAAATTCAAATTATGAGTAGAACTTGGTGCAGCTACAGATCCTTGATAACTTAGGGAACAAGCGGGCATCAGATCATTTGTATTAATCCACAAAAAATCCAAAACATGTCCATTATGTAGGAAGTAATAAAGGTTAATTTGTCACCAAACCTTGTACGATAGAATGTCACTGAAGTTATTCATCTATCTGTTATCACATGATTGCAGGAATAACCTCTGTAACTTTTGACTTTGCTCTGCATGTATTCTTAGGTTCCTAGCTAAAAACATGCTAGATGTAACATGTAGTGTCACTTTTATTTTATAGGTTAAGCCAGAAATATGTGATGATTTTCATCCCTGCACTTCCTGTAAGTTTTGTATGATATTCATTGGTGTTGTAGACTGACATATACAGTATACAAATAATAGCAAACCATGTGTATTAAAGTCCAACTTTTAGTAAAGCAGGAAAGGATTAGCACCTCTGTCAGATTTTTATAGCCTTACTGAAGAAGAGTGAAGAGAAACTGGACTCTGGTGTGGGTGATTTTAGTCTGATGTGATTGTTCTTTTTGAGGCAGCTTCTAAATATACAATGGAACCTGACATGGCCATCAGTGTAATGTCTCAAGGTTTGTATAAAAAGAGGATGACAAAGTGTGGTTGACGGTTAGCATAAAATGTAGTAATCATGTAAAAAACAGCCAATGCATTTCAAGGATTATTGATGCTAGACTGGAAAGGAAGGACTGGGCAAAAAAGTATTTAGCAATCTCGGGGTTAAACTTTTTACAGCACAAAGTGTGCTCCAGAGGCTGGTTTTTGCAGACCCCATGGAATCCATAAAATACCGTTTTTATATGATTGCTGTAGCCATTATCTCAATTTTATCTGGACTGTCAACCATACTCTGGTCCTCCCTTTTTCTGCAACCCTTGAGGTTTTATTGCTGTATATACACAAGTTAAGTGGATTTCCTTTCCTTATCCATGGGGGCACATTTTTAGTACAATGAGGAGCAGTTAGTCTTTTTTTATTACAATGTTGTGCCTTCCTGGCCCAGTGACAGCTACTCTCCCTATTTCTAGTACAAGTGTCACAGGGATGAAAATATGGGGTTACAAACACAAATAACTTACTGTATCTAAAGCACAAAAAAAGCTGGGGATTAGTTGTTAAAAAGGTAACCACATTCACATGATCTCTTATGTTCTGACTCAACTACAGGACCATAAACATTATCTCCAGCGATGTATACAGCTATACGACGTGGTGTTGAATCTATCTCTTGCATCGGGTCAGACAGTTTAACTCACATGTTAAGGAAGTCAGATGAGGAAACCCATTTGAATGTTCCGTTTAATGGAGAATAACCATAGGTAGAAAAACATTAATGTTGTAAGCCTCATGGAAAGATGCATTCAGAAAGGCAGGATACAGTGGAATGACTACCAGAGAGAGGCAGGGGGGAGGGATATACACAAGTACGGTAAGAGAAAGAGCTCAGCTTAGACAGGAGAAGACAGCTTAAAGACACACAGAAATGATAAACAAGTGATGGTCACAGAGAAACAATAGTAAAGCAAATAGTGTAACACAACACTCCCCATCTGAACTCTTTAGATTTCATAACTTCAAAATATATATATTCAATAAGTCCAATTCTGATGAATGTCTTGGAACCTGTAACAAGAAACATGCCACAAGCAAACATAAACATAAGTTCAACTACAGTACATGGCAGAACACATAGTAATCCAACATGGGACATCTTCAGAGAATACTAAAGTTCCAAGTAAATAACTTATGGTTAGCAGCAATGTACTCCCCGCTGTGCAATAGCGTGGCAGAGTGGTTGCATAAGTCAGTCACCTGGCAAAATAAGTACTAATTCTGTAATTGTTTGAGCAAAAGTTTGTGTTGATCCTCCCTTGATCTCTACCTTCCGGACCTTGTCATCATCAGTGGGCATAACTTTAGTAATAAGACCCATATGCCATTCATTCTGACAAACTTCCTTGTCCTTTAGGAGAATGAGATCTCCAACCTTGAGATTAGGCTTAGATTTCCCTATACGACCACCAACTATCCGTAGCTGATTGGCGTCAACTACAGAGTTTAGATTGAAGAGCGAACTGTTTTTGGACAATTCAGGTCCATTTCTGATTCTCTCAAATTCCTCCTGATACACCTCTTGTTGCACACAATGGATAATTACCTCTGCTGCCCGTGCAATATCTGCTGCTGTGGAGCATCCAGAACAAATGTGCCAACCATGACACTCTGATGTAGTGTTCTTTGCAAAGCAACGAGCAATGTGAGTTAGGTGAGCAATAGCTGTTACAGCAGATGACCAGGTAACAAAATGCTCAAAACAGTGTGACCACAGCTTCTGTTTTGTACTCACAGAAGTGTGAAGTGAGATGTTCACAGTTCTTATTTCCTTATCATCTTCGGGACTTACTAGTCCATAGGTGTCGTCAGTAAGGAGTGAGTAAAAGTTCTCACACAAAAACCTTGGCGACGAAAGCCATAAGCTGTTCTAAAGAGCTGCTGATGAGACGGCTCTGGTCTCACAGTCAGCTGGGTTGAGTTCAGTAGGGACGTAATGCCATGGACTTGGTAGAGAGAACCTCTTTACACGCTCTACCCTGTTGCTGACGTGCATGTAAAACTCTTTTGTTTGGTTGTATATATAACCAAGTACTATCTTACTGTCTGTATAAAAGGTGAAAGAATCAATTCTAGTGTCCATAGCACTTCGAATGACTTCGGCAATTTCTACCGCTAGCACAGCCACACAAAGTTCAAATCTTGGTATGGTATGTGCTGGTTTGGGAGTGAGTTTTGCCTTGCCTAGAACAAAACTACAGTGTGATTCTCCATTGATTCCAGAGGTCTTTAAATAGGCTACTGCAGCAATAGCTTCAACTGATGCATCGGAGATAATATGAATCTCTCTATGGTCAGCAGTTAAAATGGAAGTTGGAGCATAGTAATGTGAAATCTGAAGTTTTTCTAATGACCTCAAAGAACATCTCCACGTTTCCCACTTGTGTTGTTTCTCACTAGGTAAATGAGTATCCCAGTCTATGTTCTCAGTAGATAACTGTCTTAGCAGGATCTTACCTTGAATGGTAACTGGAGCAATGAAACCCAGTGGATGATAGATCTAAGGTTTGCTACAGACAGCATTTCCTTTGTTCTGGTGAGAAGATCGATTGCTTCTTTAGCAGATGGAAAGGATTTGAGTGCGTCATCAACATAGAAGTGTCTTTCAACAAATTGGCGGGCATCAGATCCATATTCCTTTTCTTAAGCCTGAGCCGTTCTCCTTAGCCCGTAAGTTGCCACTGCAGGGGAAGGACTGTTACCGAAGACATGTACCTTCATTCGATATTCTATCCCTTCCTTGTTGATGTCTTTGTCTTTGTGCCATAGAAAACTGAGGTAGTTTCTGTTGTCTTCTTTGACAACGAAACAGTGAAACATTAGTTGAATGTCGTTCATTACTGCTATGGGTTCTTGTCTGAAGCGGATCAGGATTCCTATTAGACTGTTGTTCAAGTTGGGTCCAGTAATTAGCATGTTGTTAACCTTCATGCTGAGCGCTGGAATCAAAGACAACTCTGATTTGGTCTGGTTTTCATGGGTGATACACATCAAAGGATGGAAGGTACCAGCATTCTTCTCCCTCCTTTAGTGGGGTGCAGGCTCTGCATGATCTCTGTCAAATATATTTTGCATAAAGTCCACAAAGTGCCCTTGCATCTCTGGTTTCCTGCTTAAGTTGCTATTTAAGGAGGAGAATCTACTGATGGCCTGCTGCAATTTGTTGGACAATCTCTCTCTTGGGAGTGCTACCCAGTTATTGGAGTCGTCTTGAAAGAACTCATTGTCCATTACTCTGATAAATTCTTTGTCTTCCATTGAAGGAGCCAGTATATCATCTTCACTGGTTGTATTAAACACTGTAGAGTCCAGGTCGTCGTCATGGGGAGAGAAAGGGCTTGTGTTACCTGAGATACTATGCTGCCATTTGCAGCTGGCTATCTTCTTTCACCCAGTAGTGATGTGGGCATGGCTTAAAGTAAGTGTTTCAGCCATTTGGCAGAATATTTGTTTTTAATGCTGACACATTGGTAGGTCTCTTCATTTTGCCTATACAGACGATGCCTATGATGACCCAACCTAGATCTGTGCGCTGGGCAAATGGGGCATCTGGGGCTCCACTGACTTGTCTGTGTACCTTGTGAACCCTTGGAATGTCTGTTCGTAACAGAAGAAGGATCTGAACATCTTTGTCAAGTGGTGGTATCTCACTTGCTATTACCTTCAGTTGAGGGTGATGGAAGGCAACAGCTGGTATAGGGATTTCTTCCCTGTTAGCAGGTATCTGGTTGCACTCAACAAGTGTAGGTAGGAGTAATTGCAGGTTACCTTTGAGAGGAGATACCATGAGTCCATGAGCCATTCTTGCAAAAACCTCTGTAGTTCAACTACAAGTACCCAAGGTGTAAGGATGAGCCTCACCCTTTGTTTCAAATATATCAAACCGTTTGGATCTTGCAAGTGATCTATTGCTCTGATCATCTAAGATCGCATACACCTTTAGAGTCTTTTCTGGTTGATCTTCGTGGTATATGTTCATCAGACATATCTTAGCACACAACTTATTACAGCAGTCTTTCCCACAAACTTCAGTGCAGGATGAAGAAATTATGGTGTAATCAGGCACTTGATCTGTAACTCTTCTCTGACCTGGGAGGAGAGTTAACAGGTTGTGCAGAGCTGGGCTCAAGTGGATGGAGGGCTTGCACATGTTGTCTGAGCCACACTGTATGCACGTGATGGACATATTACAGTCCTTAGCCAAATGTTCGGTAGAAGCACAACACTCGAAACATACCACAAATGTCTTTAAAAGCTCCTTACGCTCTTCAAGAGGCTTTTTCCTAAAGCCGATGTATTTTTGAGGGGGTGTGGCTTCTTGTGAATGGGACACACTTGGTTAGGGTTTTCAATCTTCCTACTCTGTTTATTTGCAGCCACAACTGTGGTGAGAGTGGGGAGGATGTCAGTCTTTTTTCACGGATACAGGCCCTCTATGGTTCCTATAGTTGGCCTGAAGACTGGTACTCTTAGGAAAGGATAAAAAGAGACTACTTATCGTAGTAGAAAAACTTGGGTCGTTCTTGGTCTCTGCAATGTTCCTGATGAATTCGCAGAAGAAAGAGAATGGAGGGAAGGAAACATTGTTCTGTTTTTGTATGATGACCCTAGTGTGGACCATTTTTCTTGCAAACCATATGGGAGCTTGGAGACGATTGGGTTTACTCCTGTGGCAGTGTCCAGGTAGTTTTGAGTC